TCTAAGACTGAGGCAGGAAAAAATATAAAATATGAAAAGACCACTCACAAGTAATGAAATTAAAGCTATGATTAAAAGTCTTCCAGTAAACAAAAGTCCAGGACCAGATGGTTTCAAACACAAATTCTACCAAACATAACTGATTAATAAAAACCATATGATCATCTCAATAGATGAAAAAAAAAAAAAAGCTTTTGACAAAATTCAACACCCATTTATGATAAAAACTCTCCAGAAAGTGGGCATAGAGGGAATCTACCTCAGCATAATAAAGGTCATATAGGACAAATCCACAAAAAACATAATTCTCAATGGTGAAAAACTGAAAGCATCTCCTCTAAGATCAAGAATAAGATAAGGATGTTCAGTCTTGCTATTTTTATTCAACATTGTTTTGGAATTCCTAGCCAGGCCAAACAGAGAAGAAAAGAAATGAGTAAAATATAAATTTGAAAAGAAGAAGTAAAACGGTCAGTGCTTGCAGATGACATGATACTATACATAGAAAATCCTAAAGATGTCACCAGAAAACTACTAGAGCTAATCAATGAATATTGTAAAGTGGCAGGATACAAAATTAATATACAGACATCTCTTACACCCCTATGCACTAACAAAGAAATATAAGAAAGAGTAATTTTAAAAAAGAGTAACTAAGGAAACAGTCCCATTTCCACTTCTACAGAAAGAATAAAATACCTAGGAATAAACCTGCTTACAGAGGCAAAAGACCTATACTCAGAAAACTATAAGATACTGATGAAAGAAATTAAAGACAACACAAACAGATGGAGATATACCACAGAAGAATCAATACTGTGAAAATGACTATAATAATACTCAAAGCAATCTACAGATTCAGTGCAATCCCTGTCAAGTTACCAAAGGCATTTTTCACAGAATTAGAACATTTTTTTTTTCAACATTTGTATGGAAACACAAAAGACCCCAAATAACCAAAACAATCCCAGAAAAAAAAAAAAAAATGGAGCTGAAGGAACCATGCTCCCTGAGTTCAGACTACACAAGAAACTTACTGCAGTATGACTCTGGCATAAAAACAAAAATGTGACTCAGTGGAGGAGAGAAAACACAGAGATAAACTCATATATTGATGTTCACCTAATCTATTATACGACAAAGGAGGAAGGGATACAGACAACCATATCATAGTAATAAAGGTATCAATTCATCAAGAGGATATAAAAATTCTAAATGTTTATTCAGTGAATAAGAGCTTCAAAATGCATAAAGTAAAAACTGATAGAACTATAAGGATAAATATACAGGTATATCCACAATCATCATCAGAGGTTTCAATACTACACTTTCAAGTACTGAACAGTAAGAAGACAGCAAATTAGAAAGCATTCAGGACTTGAAAATCACAATCAACAAATTTGATCTAACTGGTATTCACAGAAAAACTCATCAATAAATAGAAGGGTAGACATGATTTTAACCTGGACACTGAAAACAATGACAGACCAAATTTGATGCCATAAAATCATTCTCAATCAATTTTAAATGATCCAGCAATTCCACTCCTGGGCATCGATTCAGAGAAAACCATAATTCAAAAAGATACACACAGCTCAATATTCATTGCCACAGTATTTACAATAGCCATGACATGGAAGTAATCTACATGTCCATCAACTGAGAAATGGATTTTAAAAAAAGAGAGATACATATATACAATGGAATATTACTAAGGCATTAAAAATGAAATGATGTATTTGCAGCAACATGAAGGGACCTGGAGATTATCACACTAAGTGAAGTCAGAGAAAGATAAATATTATATGATACCATTTTCATGTGGAATTGAAACAAAAAACAATACAAATGAACTTATTAACAAAACAGAAATAGAGAATGAACTTATGGCTATCAGGGGGAAGGATCAGGGTGAAGAAAAGATTGGGAATTTGGAACTGACATGTACACACTGCTATATTTAAAACAGATAATCAACAAGGACCTAGTGCATAACACAGGGAACTCTGCCCAGTGTTTTATACTAACCTAAATGGGAAAAGAATTTGAAAATATGTATAACTGAATCGCTTTGCTGTACACCGAAAACACAACTTGTTAATCAACTCTACTCCACTATAAAATAACATAAAAAAATTAAAGATTAAAGTCATAAAAAGTGTATACTCTGATATAGTAGAATCAAATTAAAATTCGATGAGAAAGATATCTTAAAAATCTCCAAATATTTCAAAATTAAGTAATATGCATCTAAAGAATCCATGGGTCGATAAAGAAAACAAAAGGGAAATTAGAATGTCTTACAAGAAAAATCTCAAATCAACAACTTCAGCTACCAAGTTAAAAATTAATAACAACAAAAAAAAAAACAGGAACAAACAAAATCCAAAATAAGCAAAAGGAAAAAAAACGACAACAACAAAGATCAGAGTAGAAATCAATGAAATGGAAAATAACAGTGAAAACAGGTGAAATTAAAGCTGATTCTTTAAGAAGATAGTGATTCCCAGGTGCTCTGTGGTAAAGAACCTGCCTGATAACGCAGGAGACGTGGGAGACACAGGCTTGATTCCTGGGTTGGGAAGATCCCCTGGAGGGGGAAATGGCAACCCACTCCCGTATTCTTCCCTGAAAAATCCCCTGGACAGTGGAGCCTGGTAGGCTACAGTCCAAAGGGTTGCACAGAGTTGGACATGAATGAGCATGAGCTTAGAGGAGATAAATAAATTATATAACACTCTTTCCAGATCAGAAAAAGAGAGAGAGAGAGAGAGATGAAAGAAATTACCAATATCAAGAATAAGAGATTGACATCACTGTAAATTCCATAAATATTAAAAATAATAACAGAATATCACTAACAAGTTTTCCCCCAGTAAATTTTATAACTTACATGGCATAGATAAACCCTTTGAAATACACAAGGTACCAAAATCAGTAAAGAAGAAATACATAGCCTGAATAGCCCTGTATCTATCAGAGAATTAAATCAGTAACTTAAACCAAGAAAAGTTCCAAGCTCAGATTATTTCACTTGTGAATTCTACCAAACAATTTTTAAAAATATACCACCCAAACTCTGAATCTACCCAAACTCTTTGAGAAAATGAAAAAGAAGAAAGTGTCTAGCACTTTATTTTGAGAGTCCAGAGTTATGCTGACAGCAACAGACACAAGCTTTACAAGAAAACTACTGATTAAAACCCCTCACAAACAAGGATACAAAAATCTAAACAAAATTTTAACACAACAAGTACAACAATATATAAAAAAGAGTGTATCATGACCATGTGGGATTTATTCCAGGAATGCAAGGCCTTTTTTTAAAAATCACTTGAAGATCTATCAATATAATTTACCATATTAACAAACTAAGAAACATAAACTATGACACACACAATTCAACATTCATTTTCTAATTAAAGCAAAGCAGCAAACTAGCATTCAGCTTGTTGCCATCAAATACAATAAATAAAGACACAAGTATTGTGTTCTGAGTAAGACAGACCAGCTGTGGGACTTCGGGAAGGACACAGACCCCTCTGAGATTCATGACTTGATCTATAAAAATAGACTTGGTAATTGTTGAGCGACTACTATCAGCAAAACAGTGACCTAAGAATTTTTAACACTTGCCTCTCTCCCCCTACCCCCATCATCCCTCTAACCACCTCCACCGAAAAATGATTTGAACCCATCCGAATCACAGCACTGTGGGGACAACTTGAACAGAAATATCAACTTTCCATGCACAGAAATAGATCCACAAGAATAAAGGTTTCTAGGTAAATAGAGATTGTAGCTCCCGGGTGAAGCACAAGAGTAACCAAAAAATGCTTTGAGGAGGGTCAGAAAGACAGATTCATGTTACTCCTATAACCTCTTCCCCAGGCCTGAGCAGCCCAGGGCAGGGAGAGAACCGTCCCTACGGAAGGAAAGAGAAAGCCGAGACCCACTCCACCTGCACTCCAGAGTCAGCTCGCCGCAGGCGGCTCCCAACAGATGTCTGTGTGGATCCAGGCCTCTGGCTCAGCCCAGCAAGTGCTGGGGCCAGGGGCCCTGCAGCTTCCGTAGCACCAGGCTCCCTGTGGGTCCCCCTGATACCTCGGCACCTGAAAGCTCCAAAGGCCCCCAAGGGATCTACCCTTGAGCCCAGGTTTCCATCTGGGCCCAGCATGAGGTCAGCTAGCACCAACTCCAGATTTTGACCCACCCCCGAACCAGGCTGGCTCCCACGGTCCCAGGCCCCTGAAACTCACCAGCACTGGGCCTGCCCTCATGGCCCAGCCTCAAGTCCAGCTCCCATAGACCCAGGCTCCCCGCCTGCCCCAAGCCAGACCAGCCCTGCAGACCCACCTTCAGGATGAAGCAGCCTCTTGTACACTCTTTAAGAATACTCAAAGCACTCAGGCCTAGAGGAGGAAATGGCCACCCACTCCAGTCTTCTTGCCTGGAGAATCCCATGGATAGAAGGGTCACAGAGAGTCAGACTAAGCGACTGGTCACAGAGCACTCAAGAGTCACTTTTCCCATCTTCTTCTGCAGGTCTGAACGATTTCCATATCCTCTTCCCCAACACGAAAGACAACTATCTCAGCATATCACAGCAGAAATGGGAAACTCTTGAACGTCTTTATCTCAGTCCCAGAGTTAATATATTTACAGATCAAGGTCTTCAAAAAGGTAACCTGTAGACCTTTCCAAGTAGAAAAGGTCAAAGCCTTGTTTGAATTAAGTAACACTTTAGTATTCGATTTTGAGGATCCAACTTAGAGACTCAGAAATGCTTTCCAAGTACACATTGCTACCTTCGCCTGCTGAAAATCACACTAAAAACCACACAGGTCGGGGCAGGAGGTCACAGACACCAAACAATGACACCTCCTGATGCCTTCTCAGTTCGAAAAACACCAAGTCTGAAGAGGTATTTAGATAATCCCAGCTGCCCTCCTCTGTCACAGCATCTCAACCAAAGAGGAAGCCTTGGGCTTTCTACTTACCCGTGTAGAGGTCTGTATCTGTGTACTCATCCACTTTCTTGTGCTGCAGAATATAGTCAGAGACCTTGGTCCCAATAGCTGGCTGAACGTCCACCCACTCCAAGGAGACCACGGTGCTAGAGGGCTC